TAGCATTTTGATTTCAAGTTATCCCCATATCGAAGAATAGAGAAATGAAATTCGTTCAACAATCAACAAACTTAGCTATAGCTAATTTACATGCTGCAGGCTGCCTAATAATGGCGTTAAAATTTGTGAATCAGCATGCAAGATTATACTAATTCAATCAATCCAGCGACAGAATTTTTTTTATGGCTCGTTGAGCAAGAAAAATGAAATCTTAAGTAGATTAGGAAACTAGTAAGTCTTATATAGACAATTTTGTTAGGTGAAAAATTTACCACAAGGGGACCAGGTCGAATGATGGTGTACCCAAGGCCTGATCTTCTCAATGAATCTTCTCCGGCCTAGAGGATTTCAACATAATAAAATTCAGTAGGAATATCGGAAAATTAAATTCAAAACAAAAAATATGAGAAAGAGATAACCTTCTTTGCTTTCAGAACCTGCTCCCTTCTAGAAGGCTCTATTCCTGATCCTGTACATGAAACTAGAATAAAATCCGTTTCTTGCCCAGTCTGCAACCATCAGAATCCATCCAATGATAAGAACAAAATTGAATAGCTACTTCATCTAAACGAAAATTCAACAGAGTTCTTAAGTAAAGGGGCTCATCAAAATGATTGTAAGCATAAGATATAACATTCTTTGTTTTGATGTGAGTGCAAGCAACCATATAAGACATGTACTGACAAGATTAAGATTATGACATATTCTTTTCTTTTTCACTTCTTTCCTCATAACTCTCAAGTGTTAGTTAACAGGATTCAAAGGCCCCAAAAATATAAGAATTTATATCGTGTCCAAATCTTAAACTTAAACCAAAGGAAGAGACAAGAAAAACGAACAACTGATTAGGGAAACCTGATGGTGACTGAATACACTGAATAAACAAAAAAATGATGAATGTGATGTGGAAAGATGGGGCTTCACCATTTTCATTTGGAAAATATGTTAAACATTTCTGGAAGATCAGTAGTATAGCCATAAGATTCACTTGTATAAACAAACGAAATAGATAAGATCAAACTGCCAGAAAGAAATTATCAATTCTAAATGAAATTCCAAATGATGCCATCTCGTGTAACATGCCCCCATGACATGACCAGTTCTGAAGAATTTGGCACTTTCTGAAGGGGCAAATGACCGGAAAGAACTTTTATGAAAGTTCAACAGAAGTTTAATGCAGCCTATTTTTGAATTTCCATCAATGGAGTAACTTTCCGTGTTCCTACCGAATTTTTATGACCTTCATTCTTGTATCTAGGGTAATGTTTATAAATAGAACATTCTATCAGATGAATAGTTTTTCATTTGTGACGTTGGAGTGGATGCTGAAGATGAAAGATTATATATAGTCCACATAAGGCATTGAAATATTGATCATTGGGAGGAGCCTCTGGATATAAGAGCCATAAAGAAAGGTAATAGGCTAATAGCTACGTTTGTTAGGGTTAGGGGTAAATCAACAGATTACGTATTATTAGAGCAAGAGAAACGGACGTTCTATTAAATAACGTTGCAATTATTTGAGTACAAGCTTATGAACAGAGTAATCAGAACATTTAACAATTAAACAAATATATATGTCAGACAAAGCTTGGGTAGGTAACAAGCAATAACTTTACATTCGACATGATATTGATGAAAAATAGAACAAAACTCACTGGTAAAGCTTTGACATATTCCAAAATCAATTGAAAGCTTCTTAAATCTTGCTTTGGTCCAGTAGGACCTTCAATGGGTTTCTGCAGTCAAGAAAAATAATCATTATCCAAATCAAGTTCAATTTGGTACATTATCATTAGAAGCTATCGGTCAAACTCATTCAAGTGATCTTCTCAATTTCATTAAACAAAGAATAAGCCCAAATAATTATAAGGTGAAGTACGCCACTCTAAAACAAACCTGTCGTCTTGGCTCAAAGCGTATAGTCAAGGTATGTACAAGGAATGGATCTAATGGCGGATCATCTGGTTTCACTGGTCTAAAGGACGAAAATGGCACTCTCACCTGATACAAAAAGTGTGGTATTAATACATGCATATTCTTAATTTGAAGAGAAAATGTAATTAGTACAAATATAGTACAGATAAACATGTAAAAAATGATTTTGGTTGCACCAGAATTCTGTTTTCCTTTCGACAAAGTCAATAAACTCACCCTGCAAAAACCAATTTTTGTGCTAATCCTGGCGAAGTACATTGTGCTCTGTGATGTGTCTGCTGAAGGACCAGTTTCAAGAATTACAACGTAAGATCTTCCATTTCCACCAACAGAGAACACAAGACCCTCGTACCTAAACATTACAAAGTCAAATAGAAATGATTCGAGAATCTTGGAGTGGAATGGATGTATGACTAGCAGTAAACCAGCTGGCAGTACTTGGAAATTGTTGAGAAGTGTTTATATACGTACTTCGTACCTGTCAAGAGTGGATCCCAGAGGGAGTGAAAGCTTTTTTGAGAGTTCAACATAGCCTCCTCTTGTGAAAACATATCCTATTTTTCGACAGAATAGCACAATGAAAAAAAGAGTCCCCCTCCAATAGTAGGTCATCGAAATAGGAAAAATTTCAATGAAAGACAAGACATAATTTACTATAAGCATTTTAGGAAGCGTGCATATGGCTTTTAGATTTGGTTCATAATTTGTTTCACGCATTTTTTTGTACCAGAGAAAACTGCATCCCCGTCCTCGGTGAACTCAAATTTGGCATCCATTCCTCCATCATACTTGGCAACAACTACATCCTGAAAATATGTTCCTTGACGGACTTCCCATCCATTCAATGAATCAGCAGACTTGAATTTGGCAATCAAAAGCTTGCTTTTGCTGCTTTTGCCTGCTCGTAGTTGTGCTAGTTCGTTGTTGTAGTCCTACATTCAGGAAATTAAAACAAATCAAACTCTCCTTAAATGTAAGAGAGAACAAGGTTAATCATCTGGGTTGTAATTGAAATTGGCAGCATCCAATGCCACTATAATCATGCACCCCGTAGCTCAAGGATCTCAGATTGGATAATAAACAGATCCACATGCTAATTAAAGCATTAAAAATTGACAGTTGATACTTCATAATTTAAGAATCAGAGGCCTATGATGAGTCTTGATAACTAGCAAGCCCATCCAAGTAAAAAGGCATGTTCTTTATGATTCTTTGAGTGCATGCTCATGTTCTTTATTGATGTATTTTCAATAGGGTACCAGACAACATAGAAAAGAGTCATCGATTTGATATCATTTGTGCAGTACCATCAATATGGACCAATACAAAAGGCATACAAGTAGTTATGAACACAAACTTCAACCCCGCTTGGGCCCCATTAAATTAAATTTCATTTTCCTCTCTCCTATTTTCAATCACACAATCTTCTAACATAATATTATATATAAACCGAAAACTTTTCCTTCTTTTTCAACCACCGAGTCTTCAAAAAAAAAAAAATTACTATTCGACCCATTTTAATTTGAAAAAATGAGGGCCAAACAGGGGCTCAATAGCAAGCAAATAACTAGCTATAAAAGAGCCCTCAAAGTGAAGTAAGATATTCCTTATGAAGCACAGAATCATCTGCGTGCCAAACCTGAAACGCTTTGGTGAGATTGTAAACTCCCAGATGATCAACTCTGTTGAGATCCCCAGTGATCGATGAACGAGCAGTTGCGCAATAGATAATCTTGTTGCAGCCTTCTATAGCAGCTTTGAGAGTGGAGGATTCACCAACATCCCCTGTCACTATATCCACAGATGTTGGGAGCATATCCACCACTTCTTGGTCTGCTTTTCTTACTAAAGCCTGTAAACGTAAATTATGCTACATTAAATAAGAACCCTATTTATAGCACCTAGAATTCACCATTGCAATTTTTAATTCCCAAGTCAAATTGGAGTTCATTACACGAGGCAAAATATCAAATTGCAAATATGAAAATTCAAAATATTACTAATTCTTCAAATTTCGTACGACATTGATCAGAGGGAGGAAAAAGAAGACCTTGACAGTATAACCCCTCAGCATGAGCTTGCGAACAACAATGCGGCCAACGCGGCTGGTGGCGCCGACAACAAGCACGGTTGTGTTTTGGGCGCCGGGAATGGCAAATTCACACATGGGGCCACCCTCCCGCATGAGAAGGCCGCTCTCATCATCTTCTGTGCGCGTGGTTCTTGAAATCTGGCCCAACCCAGAAAACTTCCGCCACACCTCGTCAAATATTTGCCTAGATCGCCGCCCCAACCCTACCGGATTCACATCATCCAGTGTACTCTTTATTGCTGAAACTGAAGAAGTAGAAGACGATAAATCTGTCTGCTGCTGCTGCTGTATCGAAGCTTGTATTTTATCCTCGTCTTGTTTCTCATCATCTTTTTCCTTATTTTTGTTCTTTCTTTTTAGCTGACCCTTCTTCTTCTTGTCAGTTTCTGGGGCAGATGAAGAAGGAGAAGTGGCCTTTGTAACAAATAACCGAACACCATTCCCCGGCGGTGGACTTGAATGCGGGATAGAAATTTCCCTCCATCTTCGGTTGCAGAGATTATTGTTGCCAAATATACTGGGTGTCAAGGCAGTACTAGCAGTGTTCATTGCAATATTATTATTGCATAAATTTGCTGGCAAACTTTCCCTTCGCTGCAATTGCTGTCCTTTTTTTATTTTTTGGTGATTGATCAATCGGCAAATTCCAATTGAATCTTCTGCTTGAATTAAGGCTGGCGGGTGGTTTGGATTAGGAGAAAAAATGAAAGAAAACAGCTAAGTCAGCCGTGACAGTGACAAAGCAGAATTTCAGACCACAAAAGATTCAGCTGTGGCCTGTGTGGCACAAATAACAGGGCCACGTAGAGACATCCATTTCCTTTCGTTCTTTGTGCAATTTCGATTCTAAAGAAAACATTTTTTGCACCCTGTCCTGTCTAGCTCTTATCCAATTTTCCATCACGAAATGCATTTAGCAGTAGGGCTGGACATGGTTCGGTTCGATTCGATTTTGACGAGAACCGAATCGACTCGAAATTTTTGGGTATTTAATAAGTGGAATCGTCGGGTCCAAATTTAATTATGGAACCGTTCGGGTTCGGTTCCATTCGGTTCGGTTCGGTCCGGTTCGGTTCCATTCGATTCTGTATTATAATTAAATTTTTTAATATATACAAAGTTACGTTAATTTAATTAATGATATATTTAATATTAGCTCTTACAAAATAACGTAGTTCAATCTTATGTGTTTCACGTCTCTCTTTATTGAATTCTTCATAAACTTAATTATTAAAATCACAGAAAAAAAAGATAGCGAGCTCAAAATAATTAAGAGAAATGTTGTAGAGCTTTAATTCGATTTTCTCCCGTAGAAACGACACTACAGTAGAATAATAGATTTGGATAAAATTGAGGTCAATTTTATTAAGTCGATTTTGAACTGAATATTTGAAATAGGAAAATCATTTTTTGTGGTTTGAACTAAATTATATAGTTAACAAATTTATTTAGAAAAAATAAAATAATTTTACTTATTTAAAATAAATTAATTAAAAAAATTACGGAGATTCGGTTCTTATTCGATTTTTCGGGTCTTGGCCTAGAACCGAGAATCGAACCATACCCGTCGGTTCTTGATTCAAATACCCGTTCGGGTATTTAATTTGAGAAGAATCGTCGAGTTCGGTTCTGTTCGGTTCGGGTTCTGTTCGATCGGTTCGGTTCGGGAGTTTTGTCCAGTCCTATTTAGCAGAGGGCCCATTTTGAGGTGACTCGTGGTGACAGCACAACGCTTTTCTTTGGCTGGTC